CCCGAGATGGCGCGAGATCGCCCGAGATCGCGCGGCGCGGCCCGGGGCGGGGTGGATGGGTTGGGAGCGAGGGGGCGGAAGTGACCAGTGCGGTAGAGGGTCAGCTCGAGGCGCGTGAGCCGGACCTGTGAGCCGGACCACCCCCTCTTGTTATCTGCGTTGTTGAGCCAGGACTCAACATACTCGGGCTGTTGCCATCCCAAACTGTCACTCCCCTTTCTCCCGGCCGGGGTGGGGCGCGCGCGGGGGCGGCGGGTGTGCGGCGAGTGTGCGGGATGTCTGTGGGCCCGAGAGCGATATGCCATGTCCGCCTTGCGTTGTTTCATAACAGGTAGGTAGGTAGAAAGGTGAAGAACAGCCAGGCTCGGACTGGACACCAACGCGGTATGGGTGGACGCGAGACAGATGATGACGACACGCACGAACGACACACAGACACAAACAAGCTCACAAGACACACAGCCAGCTGGCTGCCACACACCCTGATCATAACACCGAAGGCTAAGCTCAAAAAATATTCTGGGCAAACGAGGCGGATCCTTGTTGATCAGCCAAGTCCGACTTGGCTTGCTCACAACAGCCTCCTAACCCAGCCTCTGCCATGGTCTTCGCAAAGAAGAATCCGATCTCGTACCTGCGCAAGTACGGTTTTTCCAAGGGCAAGGCTGGCGCTGCCGAACCGATCGAGGACAAGCTCAAGGCCGCCGAGCCACAGACTGTCAACGACGACGACATCGTGGATGCGCCTGCCGTCGGCCTCCCCATCGCGGCGAACGTTGTCGAGGCTGGCACCGATGACGCTCAGCCCGAGGCCGTTGACACTCCCGCTGAGGCCTCTGAGGTCGCAGAGGCGGCGAGCGACGCAGCGGCTGCATCGGAGGTGGTTGACGAGGCTGCCGCCGACGCCGAGGCGGACACCAAGGAGCAGCAGCCCAACCTTCTTGAGGGCATCGCGGCAGCGGCGAGCTCCATGACCGACAAGGTGGCGGAAGCGTTCTCCAGCATCCTGCCCAAGAAGGACGACGCTGAGCCGGCGGCTGAGCCGGCGGCCGACGAGGCAGTTGAGGCGCCGGCGCCGGACGCGCCGGCGCCGGAGGAGGCGAACGCTGAGGACGCAGTCGCGGAGGGCTCGGCCCCCGAGGCGGGCGCGGACGAGGCCCCCGCCACGACGAAGAAGCCGTCCTTCCTCGCAAAGGTCACCACCATCCTGTCGCCACGCAAGAGCAAGGAGGCGGACGCCGAGGTCGAGGCGGACGCCGAGGTCGAGGCGGAGGCGGAGGTCGAGGCGGAGGCGGCAGAGGAGGAACCCGTCCCGGCGGACGCGCAGCCCTTCAAGCTTGCCACCGCGCCGACGAGCGAGTAGGCGGGGCGGGGGGTAGGGGGGGGGGGGTCGTGTCGTGAACGAGAGCAAAGCAGCAGGGCGGGGGAACGCATCTAGCGGTGACTCGTCTTTCCTAGAGTGAGTCGCGCTACAGTGTCCAGTCGGAGGGTGTATATTGCGTATGTGAACTACAAACCTTGCGACACACGTCCCGCTGTCGGACATCAGCGGGCGAGCGACAGCCCTCTCGCGAGAAAAATGCCGCGCGAGAATGTCTATGTGTGGAGTAGTACTACGAGTAGACGGGTGTGGAGGGTGGGTTGAACGAAATCCGGGGACGCGACCCACTTCGCCACAGACGGTCCTGCGCCTCGCCGCTATGACGGCCGCACGACCGCAGCTCGTGTGCGTGCGGCCGTCTTTGTCCGGAGTGAATACTCCAACGCGCTCGTCGGTGACGGCGTCCCCGGATTTCGCCGCGCTCGGCGAACCTCGACAGCGCCCCTTCGGCTAGGGGGGGGGTCCCGACCCCCCCAGCGCCTTCACCACATGCTAGGGGGGGGGTCATGGCCGAGGACCCCCCCAGAGACTCGTGGTCAGACCCTCCGGGCCCTTGTTTTACGCCTCATTTACTAGACCAATATGAAAAATTAAATATTCTTAGCTTCGCCCTTGCCTCCGAGACTAGGGACAGTCACCATCCGTACACAGGAGTCGAGAGACGGGAGTGCGCCTCGCCCTCGCTTGCCCTGACTGCACAGCTCAGGATAGCGTGCCCCGATGACGGCGACACTTAGCGAGGGTCACTGCGCAAGGAGGTTCGGTTTTGCCTTTCTCTGTGCTCTCGAGGAAATGTTTTCACGGCGCCCATGGCCTTCTGAGGTTTCGTACTAATGACGTCCTTCTTGGCACACTTCGGGCGTCGGTGTGTGTGTTTTCTGTGGTGTCAGAAATTTCCCCGGTATTCGGTGCTATATAGGTGGCCGGCTGCAGAGCAACCTCTGTTGCTCGACTCCCTTCGCTGTAAGGTGGGCGTTGCTTTGCCATGTGCTCGTTCGTGTGTGCGTGTGTGCGGGTGTGGGAGCAATTGGAGCGTGTGTGTGTGTGTGTGGCTGCGGGTGTCTTTGCGTGTGGGTGGTGCTTTGCTGGCGCTCCCGGTGGCAAATGGTGTCGTCGTGAAACAAACAAAAAGACGCCCGCAGGCCAAACGGACAGGATAGGGACCGACGCAGGACGACGCACACACACGTGTACGTGTGACGATACTACGGTATCTCATCGACGGGCCAGCCCTGGCCCTCTGGGCCGAGGCCCGCGCGGCGGTCCCAGACCCTTGGTGCACCTGCCTAATGTGGCAACCTGCCTGCCTAATAATGTGGGCGGCGGGGCGGGGCGAGAGACACGACACACGTGCTCTGGGCCGAGGCTCGCGCGGCAGTCCCAGGATGAGACCCAGACGCGGCCGGCCGAGCGGCTGACACGAGTCGCCCAAGCCATTTTTCAGGCAAGCAGCAGCCCACAATCGAGGGCAACAGCGCGCCTTGCGCTTGTGCTCGACATAGACGGCACGCTCATCGACTCGACCGACTTCGACACGGTCATTCACAAGCGGCCAGGCGTCGATGCCTTTCTCGACGACTGCTTCTCTTCGTTTGCCGCCGTTGCCATCTGGACGCACGCGGGCAGCGATTGGGCCCGACACGTGACGCAGCACGTGCTCACAGACGCCGACGGCCGGCCACGACCGTGGGCGTTCGTGTGGTCAGCGAGCAGGGCGAGCGCCAAGCGCAAGCCGATCGAGCACATGTTCGACTTGCATCCGGCGCGCGACTACATCAAGCCGCTTCTCAAGGTGTGGCGCGGCAAGAAGCGTGCGGCGGCTGGCTTCACGCGCGACCGCACGATCATCGTCGAGGACACGCCTTCGAACTGCAAGAGCAACTACGGCAATGCCGTCTACGTGCCCACCTTTCAGGCGGGCGACTGGTCCGACAACACCCTTCCGCTGCTTTCGCTGCACCTCGACGAGCTCGATGCGCATGTGCGTGCACAAGGGATCAGCGTGCGGTACGTAGAGAAGAGGTGGTGGTCGACTGAGGTGGTTCCTCCGTGCTGTTGCTTCTCGTGCTTGCTGGCTCGCATGGATTTGGATGTTCCAGATACGGGTGCGTGGACCCCGTGATTGGGATCGCGTGGGGTGGCTACCGCTTTGTGGGCGCGAGCAGGAGTGAGGATGAGGCAGGAGTGAGGAGGGGGCCTGCTTGCCATCGGCGGTCGCGTATTCTAGTCCCGTTGGTAAGTATCTACAAGTAGGAAGCAGCCCTCCCACCGCGCTCCGCGCTATAAGCTTTTTTTGCAACATGTAAGCTTTTCGGCAACATGGTGAGCAGAATGAGGCTCTTCCCTACGTTCTAGCAAGCAGTATACACTTTATACTCGGCTAGAAGGAGCAAGCAAACTATATAGTATGTGTGCATGCATGAGCATGTATGATCTGGTAAAGCCGTATGCATGCATGTAGGCCAGAGCCCAGAGCATACTCCATACGCAAGCATCATGCCACAATGTCCAGAGCATGCCAGCGGAGCATCTATCTACATCCTATTTGCTTCGTCGTATAGCGATCCTCGGTTGCAACGAGTGACTGCCGTATCGAACTCAGCAAGTTGGCCATATGGCCTGCGTGAGGACCCTCTTATATGTTTTTTGACACCTGAGCGGGCACAATTTTGCTCAGGCGCCTCCTACGATTCGAACCCACGTTTTTGGCCAGACGGCCGGTGCGTTGGTTGTTCTCGTCACGGGAGATCTTGTTCCTCGCGACTAGACCAATATGAATATCTTGGCGTGCTGTGGGCGACGGTGCCGATGGTGGGATGAACTCTCTCAGCAGCCGAAAGTCGACTCTCGACGCATTGGGAGGGCCGCGGCGGTGTAGGGGCGGCGGCGAGCTCCCGGTGGCAAATACACTCGCCTCACAGTCCAAGATGGCGGTTCGCGCCCCCGGCCGTGCACCAGCGTGCCTCTCTAGTCCCGTATGCCACCCAGATACCGAGGGCGGCGCGCACTCTTCGACTTGGGCTATTATCTGGCCTCGGGAGGGCGGCGGCGGCGGTGTAGGGGCGGCGGCGAGCTCCCGGTGGCAAATACTCGCCTCACAGTCCAAGATGGCGGCTCGCGCCCCCGGCCGTGCTCTGGCGTGCCTCTCTAGTCCCGTATGCCACCCAGATACCGAGGGCGGCGCGCACTCTTCGACTTGGGCTATTATCTGGCCCCTCGGGAGGGCGGCGGCGGCGGTGTAGGGGCGGCGGCGAGCTCCCGGTGGCAAATACTCGCCTCACAGTCGAAGATGGCGGCTCGCGCCCCCGGCCGTGCTCTGGCGTGCCTCTCTAGTCCCGCCTGCCACCCAGATACCGAGGGCGGGGCGCACTCTTCGACTTGGGCTATTATCTGGCCTCGGGAGGGCGGCGGCGGCGGTGTAGGGGCGGCGGCGAGCTCCCGGTGGCAAATACTCGCCTCACAGTCCAAGATGGCGGCTCGCGCCCCCGGCCGTCCTCTGGCGTGCCTCTCTAGTCCCGTATACCACCCAGATACCGAGGGCGGAGCGCACTCTTCGACTTGGGCTATTATCTGGCCTCGGGAGGGCGGCGGCGGCGGTGTAGGGGCGGCGGCGAGCTCCCGGTGGCAAATACTCGCCTCACAGTCCAAGATGGCGGCTCGCACCCCTGGCCGTGCTCTGGTGTGTCGCTTGGGTCGCCTCTGATGCTGTGTCTCGTCTTAGCCAGATATCGAGAGCGTGCGACGACAACCAACGTACCCTAACCCTAACCCTTACCCTAACCCCTAACCCTAACCCTAACCCTAACCCTAGCCCGAAGAACCCAAAGCATTCACCGAGAGCTCGGGTCGACGGACCGCTGATTTCTCCATTTGGCTTCGGCCCAAACCGGACCATTTGCTGTTAAAAGCTGCACACAACGGCTTGGACTCTCTGACCCTAACCCTAACCCTAACCCTAACCCTGACCCTACCCCTACCCCTAACCCTAACGACACGGATCACGGTGCTCCTTAGAGGTCGTCGTGCGCGTCGCTGCCGACGCATCTCGCATGTCGGTGTATTTGTATTTCGGCGGGGGGGGCGCATTAAAAGACCATTGAGGCTACACACACGTCCTCGAGCGCCTGAGCCCCGAGCAGGACACACGAACCAAGCTGCTCTCGCACCTCCTCTCACTAGTTACTCGGTTGGGCTCTCTCCTTTCTATACTTCGTCGCTTTCACCGCGTTTTGGATGCAAACTTGTGAAATTTTCAGTGAAACGGGGGCGGCCGAAACGGTTCATGTGAAATTCACAGGAATTCACATGTGAAAGTGAAACAATGAAAGGGTACAAAGCATACAAGAAGAGGAGAAAGAAGAGGAGAGGCGCCAGTGATGACCAGACGAGGCAGAAGCTAGTGCAGACGAGGGCAGGGCAGACCCGGGGACGGCGGAGTCGGACCAGACGGCATCGACCGCCGAGGGAACGTTGGGAAGAGGCACGAGGAGGGGCGGCGGCGACCTCAACCGACTATGGAGGACCCGTCACCAGACGACGCAGGGCAGACGACGGTGAGGCGGAGCAGTCGCGCAGGGCGAGACGAGGGAGGGAGCAGGACGTTGCGGAGATCAGCAGGAGGATGTACGAAGAGATTAGGAGCAGCAGGGGCCCGAGGGACCATGTGGAAGACGGCTAGTGCTAGTCCCCCATCGGGAGGACGACCCCGGCTAGTCGCCGACCACACCCACAAAGAACTGAAAAGAACCCTGCACAAGATCGCAAGGGCGGGGACCTGTTCCTTTTTACCCATCTCACAGTAGAGAGGTGTCCGTTTTTGTTTTATTTTAATGAAAGGGTGAAATTTTTCACTCACGAAGGCTCACACACGGATCACTGTTCACTCATGTCATACACGAACCCCCTGTGTTCAAGCTGCATGGTCGGATCTCGAGGGTCGGATGTGGCGCGTCCCACGATCCACGGTTCGCGACTGATTCCAACAAAACAAAATCGCTCTCTGTACTCTGATTCCTCTTGTTAGAGTCCTTCACCAGACACCACTGGAGAATGACTCAGAGCTGTTCTCATTCTTGCCGCCCGGCCAGAGAGGAGGAGAGAGCTCTCTCATTGTTTCTCGCGACGATCTCTGCTAACCTGCTGTTTTCGATCTCTTTGCGGGTGCACAGCGACTCGTCTCCCGTGCAGGAGGCCGCATCCGCGCCGCCGTCGCCAAAGTCGGTCGTCGCGGCGGCGTAGAGGGCAAAAACGATGGTCGCAGCCGCAAAGCCGACGGTCAGGCGCCAGCCTCCCGTCTCGAGAACGCCTCCGGGCGTGCCGACTCGGCCGGGGTAGTTTTTCTCCGCCGCCTGGCCATCTAGATCCAGCGCCTTGTTGACCGCAGAGCCAGCGTCGCCGATGATCTTCCCAGCTCCGCGCGAGAGGCGGCTTGCGTCAGTGGAGAGGCGGAGCCGCGTCGCGCCACCCTCCTCGTCGATGCGCTCTTGGAACGCGTCGAGCAGCGAGCTGTCCGTGGGGCTCGCGGCGTCGTCGTCGGGAGCGGCGGCCCGCGCAGTCCGCGCTCGTGCAAAGGCCACGGAAGAACGCTGGACCGCTGGCGAGACGAGCGAGGCAGCGGCGACGCTGCACGCGAACATCGGCACGGATGGTCGTGGCGTGGCCTGAGACGCGGCCTGGCGTGCAGCGTCGACGACTCGACTGGACGTGCACTGACTGGCGTGAACCGACCGGCGACTACTTGGAAGCTAAGCTCTACGGCCCCGAAGAGCCACGGGAAATGGAGAAATCGGAGTGAATTGCGTTTCTTTTATGGAAGGCTGGAAAAAATTAATTAAGCACCAACACTGCCAACAATACACCTAAAACACTGGAAAATAAGAGCCGCAAAGAAGAAGAAAAGCGATCGCTTGACCTGCTTCCGCCGCGTCCAGGACGCTGCTGCTCGAGTTTCCGGTCTAGGCATTCGCACGGTTAGAGGTGAACCTCAAAGAATTTAAACAAAACAACTCTCTCTCACAGTAGACAGGCTCGACACATAGGTGCGAACTGGCGCGTGCTAGCACTATCACAGGCACACCACCGGAGCCGCCTAAGCGACTCCGTTAGGCCACCCCTCGGTGGAGGCACCGGTCCGGACCGATGGCGCTCGGTGTGGAGCAAGCAAGACCCCCCCCCCCCCCCCTCGG